AAGACACCTGCCTGCCCGCCTGGTGGCGCTCTTCCTCCTGTCCGAGGTTTTCATTGTTGTGAGCATTTCTGTTGAGGATTGGCAGTGGGAGTGCGGTGGGGGGTGTTTGGTTTTTATTCCCCCCATCTGCTGGGTGGTTGCAGAGGTTTTGGTCACTTCACATGACCCTGGGACACTGTGACCATCATAAATATGAATCAGTTGCCAAGCATCACAAGACTCTGGAGATGCTGCAACATTCCAGCTGATTGGCGCTTCTTCTGGGCTCAGCAGAAGCACCAGGATCAGTGCTGAGCTCCAGCTGGAGCCTAGTGCTGATCCTGGTGCTTCCGCTGAGCCCTGACAGCCCTGCAGCTCCAACCATCTCTCGCTCAGGCTTATGCGGTGCTGCCACCGGTTCAGTTCATTCCCCTCCCCCACTACTTTTCTAGGATGGTTGCATACCACCTGCCAGGTGCCAATGTACCACAGATGGTACCCGTACCACTGGTTGAAAAGCCCTGTTCTAGTACACCACGAAAACTCCACTGTGGGGGAGGGGATACAAGAGCAATAACCAAAGTTGCTATATTGAATCACTATATTACTATGAAACCACCAATACATTCATCTTAATGACAAATTTTGCTTGTTGGTTTATTTATTTATTCAGTTTGGAAGCTGCCTGGCTCTGTAGCAAATCTGAGCAGTTTATAGGTAACAAATTAAAACAAAACAAAACATATTAAGAAGAAAAAGAAGACAGATGATCAGAAATCCTAAACCAAAAAGCCAATTGTCCAATAACAAACCAAAGGGACTCAACCCCCATACTAGCTCAGGGCCTGAGAAAACAGCCATGTTTTAAACAATATACAAAAGGTGAGAAAGGTGAAAGCAGTACAGATCTCCAGGTAGACATGAATTTAAGCATGGCTCTTACATTTTGTAACATGCTACTGCCTAATTAAGAGATATGGAGCATGCCCCCTTGAGTTGATAAGACCAGGCAGGCGGAAATATATGGAGAAATATAATGAGGCCCTATGCCATGCACATTTTAGGTGATAACCAGCACTTGGAACTTCACCCAGAACCCAAATGGCAACCAGTGCACCTGGAAAAACAGTGAGGAAACACGCTCAAACCACAACATACCCATCACTGCCTGTGCTGCTGCATTCAAGATAGCTGTAGTTTGCTAATGGTTTTCAAGAGCAACCCCGCTTAAAGAATGGATCTATCCATCAGATTTCCATAATCCAATTCACAGTAACCAATACATGAGTGATTCTCAAAAGATCTTCCCAGTCCAGTCACTTGTGTAAAGGCCCACATGGCCACAATTGCCGTTTGTTCTTCAAATATTAGCTGGGATTCCAAGAAAACCTCTAACTGTACACCAGCCTTGCATAGGAAACTACAACCCCCATAAACACTAAACTAAAGATAGAAGGACCCGAGAACCAGAGGGGGTGAAACAAAGAAAACAATTTTTGATGCAGGTTTTGTATTATTGGTAGCTCTAGGTCATGGGTAGGCAACCTTGGCTAGCATGGCTGGCTCAGGAATTCTGGGAGTTGAAGTCCACAAGTCATAAAAGAGCCAAGGATGCCTACCCCTGCTCTAGATAAAGCTAGACATACCAAGTGCTTATTTCAGTAAAGAACAGATTTCTATCTTTTTGCTACTTTACTTACTGAATCTTGCTACACCATAAGAGCCATGGTGGTGCAGTGGTTAGAATGCTGTATTTGCAGGCTAATTCTGCTGACTGCCAGGGGTCCTCACCGGCTCAAGGTTGACTCAGCATTCCATCCTTCCAAGGTCGGTAAAATGAGGACCCAGATTGTTGGGGGCAATATGCTGACTCTGTAAATGGCTTAGAGAGGGCTGTAAAGCACTGTGAAGTGGCATATAAGTCTAACTGCTATTGCTTTTACATCATGGATCTAGCCATCAGATTGACTTGTTCTGTAATATTAATCAAATATAGTGCTATTTGACAGAGCTATTGTGAGTCAGAAAATTAAGGGTCTACAATTTTTTCCAACTATGCCATCCAAATAATCAGTTTAATTATAAAAGATGACAGTGGATAAGTATAGTTTCAAAGTGTATTTATATTTATGCAAAAAAATTTTCTATGCAAAAGATTTTGCAGAATTTCAGCATTTAACATTGAGTTGGCCACTGTCTACTGTTTGACTTTTTTGCTGTTTTTGAAAAAAACAACAATACAAGCTTGTTACATTCTTTTACACAACATAAAAGGGATATTCTAAAAAAATGTTGTTTTTGAGTTGTGTGTTCTCATCAGGTACTTCACTGAGAAAACAGAAAGTAAATGAGATTCTATCCAGATTAGCGTTCTTAATGGCATGTGAAAGCAAGTAAACAAGTAATTCCATTTCAATAAAGCATACCTCTGCAATGCAGCAGCAAAGAGAAAACAAAAAGATATCCAATCTGATTTGATTGGTGCGCTTATGGATTCAGAGGCCTTAATCTTCAAAAGCCAAGAATACAGACAGGTGCATTTTGATATTTCTTTAATGGGTAACTGTATGAATTTTTTCAAAGCGGATGGGAAGTCACCCCCTTCTCTCAGGCAAATACAGTGAAGATATTCTTCAAGTTCTTATTGATTCTTATTAGTTCAGTTTTTAATACAGAATGTCTATGAAGTTCATACTAATCATGAATTAAGTTTTATTTCTAATTTCCTTCTCAAAGAAACCAATGATTCTCTCACCATTCAGATTAGCAAAAGCTAGATGGATCAACATTCAATTTTTATTCAACTTTTATGATGAAACAAATACTTCCAATTGAGCTGATTAGGTCTATTGATTAAAATACTGGACCAGAAGCATGTAAGCGTGCTTTCTAGTCCTATTTTAGCCATGGAAGTTAACTGGACTAATCACTCCTCTTAGCCTTAGGAAGAAGGCAAATCATTTCTAAAAATATTGCCTAGAAATCTACAAGGACATTTCCATGTTCTTGCCAGGTGTCCTGCCTAGTTCAAAAACAAAACTAAACAATTCAAAACATAATATGTACTGGTGCAGAATAAGTTGTATGGCATATTTATCAGGATAAAAATTTGGGGGGGGGTTATTTCAAATTAGCTGATAAGAATAGAAAAGAAGGACTGATCCCAAAATGGAAAAGACTAGATAGTCCAGCTGAAAGAGGATGCCTTGAAAATGAGCTGCTATTTGGAAAGAACTGCTTTACTACTAAATTTAATCTTTTTTATAATATCTCTTTTCTTAATTTTGCCACCCACTCTATTTTGGTCCTCCCTCCTTTCTTTGTTGGTATTTCTAGTAGAAAGAGGAAAGCTCTGTGGATGCTTATGTGTGCATACTTGTTTCTTTGTAGGAAGAGTAGTATGAGCAAGAGAGACTGGTGGTATATAGAGATATAGGATAATGTGCCAGTATGTTGCATGTATTTCCAAGTTAATGAGATATAGACAATAGTCTATAGTCTAGCAAGTTTGCTAGAGCCTAGCATGACAGAACAGCACAAGCATGCTTGGAATAAAACTGGGTTTTGCCAGATTAACCTGTTCCATACTATGAAGTTTTATTTTGTATTGGTGTTTCACTGCTATAAAGATGAAATGTTCTCTCGTTGCAGCTATGTTGAAAACTGGAGCTGGTCCAGAAATCAAAAGCAAGATTTTTGGAGGTTGCTTGCAGCCAGGAGTACAATACACTAGTACTGCAAGACCAGTACTGCTTGCCAATTTGTGTATATGGTTAGTTCTGGGTGGAGAGCCAGAACTAACCATATACCATTGTCTATATCGCAACAATAGCAGAGGCATAATCAATAAGGATACAGAAAAGGTCTTCTCAGCACCTTAATCTAGCCTGTAGAATTAGTAGATGTACTTTCTGTCAATGAACATATATCAGGAAGCAAGGGAGATAAGACTGTCAACAATTAGAGTCCATTATTGTTAGTATTGGTGAATGTTTTCTGCAATATATAGCAGGCAGTTCATTTTGCATCTGGAGACCATGCTTTTAATAACCATTTTTTTACTGAAATTTGCAATGATGCTGTCTGCCTCTTCACTTTTGTAAAAGAGTGCTTTTAAAAAGTTTATAGAGGTGAAGATAATTCACCCATTTTTTTTCAACTGAAGAACATAAAATTGAACTGTTAAATTTCAATGGTCCAATCTTGCAGAACTCTATAGGTCAGACATGTCAAACACAAGGCCCGGGGGCTGGATGCGGCCCGCGAAGTGGTTTCATGTGGCCCACGAAGCCCTCCTGGAAACAGTGAGGGAACAGCCCCCTCTGCCTTGGCCCTGGCCCAGGCCAGCTGGGAGCCAATGTACAATTTTGTGGTGACCATCTATGCTAAAACACATTCAGTCTTAGCTCCATAACCCCCCCCCCCGCATGGCCTGAGAGGATTCTCCAGTGGACCATGCCTTGGCACTTGCCCTGGTCCCACCTCCTTCTGCCAGAGACCCTCAGATCTATCCCACTCTTGCCCAGGCCCCCACAGGCACCCTTGACGCGAATGATGTAGAGCTGACCACACCCACCCAGTAGGCCACACCCACTCTATCTACACCCACCTAGTAGGCCGCACCCACCCTGGCCACATCCACCTGGCCCCCTGAGGGCAACCGCAATGCTGATGCGGCCCTCAATGAAATTGAGTTTGACACCCCTGCTATAGGTTATAAACAAAAAGGGGAAAGAACTATATGTAGCTCACTGGCTATAGATTACACAAAATAAAAAACTTAGCTACCCTTTCACTTCTCCAAGTATGGTTGATACCAAGTGATGATCTTAATGTATAGAAGAAAAGGTTTCAGGTATGTTAACAGTGGTCCAAACTGCATGTTAATTATACATGTCCCATATTTATAATAAAACTGTATAGATCAATGTTTCTCAACCTTGGAAACTTCTAAGACGGGTGGATTGCAATTCCTACAATTCTCTTGCCAGCACTGATATAGATAAAACATGTATATTTACCTTAATTCCAGGTAACCCAGGAAGTCCAGGAAGTCCAGGTTCACCCTACCAAATTAAATTATATTGTATTATAATAGAATATTACAATATTTTAATAGTAGGAAAATATTTCACAAATCAAAATATGTTCAGTATGTTGCCGCTACTTCTTACTTTATATCTGCTACTTAAAATACCTTCCCATTTAATACAGTGGGACAAAGTTTCAGTTTATTGGAAAGGACAGTATCATTTTTTATATACTACATGTCTGACAAATCAGATTTCAAATACATCTAGGAAACCAAAATTATTTATTTGAACACATTACCTTT